GTTTAAATAATAATAACATTCAAATATTATATACTGTATAACGTGAAGAAATCTTCAATTTATAAGTTCTGATCTTAGTTTTAACACTGATGTATTATTTCCCAGAGTTTGTATCTTAGTTTTAACACTGATGTATTATTTCCCAGAGTTTGTATCTTAGTTTTAACACTGATGTATTATTTCCCAGAGTTTGTATCTTAGTTTTAACACTGATGTATTATTTCCCAGAGTTTGTATCTTAGTTTTAACACTGATGTATTATTTCCCAGAGTTTGTATCTTAGTTTTAACACTGATGTATTATTTCCCAGAGTTTGTATCTTAGTTTTAACACTGATGTATTATTTCCCAGAGTTTGTATCTTAGTTTTAACACTGATGTATTATTTCCCAGAGTTTGTATTTTTGATGATAAACTACAATAAGGTTCTGTTGAAGAAAAACATTCAGTTAAGTTCCCTTAATCAAAGTTTGATTGTGATTTCTTTTACAGAATAGCATAGATTCTCTGGAAGCCCTCCTCCATTCCCATCAGGTCAAATTAACAGCGGCAACTCTTCAAGAATTCCAGGATTCACCTTCAGAATCTGAAACTTCAGCTGTTCTATCTGGACGTAGTTCACCGTTGATTCCTGTCGTCAATCGAATCCCCAACAACCAGAATAATCTAGCAACCTCGCCAGAAGTTAACAGACCAATAACACCTGTTTTACGAAGATGTTGGACAGAGCAAAAAATGGCATCGCCACCTGCTGACGTACAGTCACGTGACACATCAGGTGTATTAATACGCTCACAAAGTGAACAGGCTGCTCTAGCCTCTTCACCACCAAAATCTCCACCAGCAAATTATTTTGCTGAAGAAAATAAATCTGGACATATTTCATCATCTATGATGTCTCCTTATGGAAATTTTGAAAATTTGGCTGCGTTGTGTTCCTCAGATGATGCTGCACCTCACGATTCTTCGGAAGCAGGAAGTGCTTGGTCGGATATTGAAAATATCACGAAAGACAGTTCACCGCTAGCACATACCTCACTCAATGATTCTAATTATAGTAACATATATACATCACCAAAATTAGAACCGAGAAACAGCACGCTTCTTGAGGATATTATTCTAGAACAAGTTGAACCAGACATACCCACGGAAACTGAAAGTGAGGCTCTTAATCGAGAAATCAAA